CGAAGTCATTCACTTGTGAATGATGTTGTTGGGGAATAATGAGGGGAGTACATAAACAAAGAGAATTACAGATAAATCATAGAAGTAAAAGGAAGAAATAAAATTTGTAACTCAAATGCATACATAGCCGTGTACAATAAGAAGAGAGTGTGACCAGAACGATCGTGGCCGTAGACATGGTAAAAATAATGACCGGAGTCAATGTGGCCGTAGCCATAGTAAGGGATGATGACCGAAGTCATGGTGGTCGGAGCCATGATAAAAAATGATGATCGGAGTCATAATGGCCGGAGCCGTGATAAAGAATGATGACCGCAGTCATAATGGCCGGAGCCGTGGTAGAATATGTGACATGTAACCACAGTAACCAGAGCCGAAGTAAAGCACATGTCTCTATGGCCGGAGCCGGAGTGAAACATGTTGCACTAAGTCACTGTGGTCATAATCGAAGCGAAACACTTTGCAGGTTAAAAAGTGTAATATAAAAATAAACAGAAGTGTTGAGTTAGGCTCATGTATAAAGATGGGGGTCATAATGGCCGGAGCCATAATAATAAAATATAATGACCGAGGTCGATGTGAAACATGTAATGCAGGATCGCTGTGGCCGGAGCCGAAGTGAAACACTTGCAGAAATTGAAAATGTGCAAAAGTGAACGAAGGTGTTGAAATGGGCGTAAGTGGACCTGTCTAAAAATTCTAACAGTTGTCCTTGAAATGACGTGTGCAATAAATGCAGCCGTAAAAGGATAACTGCAACAGTTAAACGGGAAAATTTCAAAAAACGAACCGTCGAATTCAAAACGGTGCCGTTTGGGGTTGGCCGTTGAATTCCAAACGGCGTTAATAGTAACCGTAAGATTAAATGAATCTCAGCCGTTGAGATCTAATTTTGCCCAGAGGTATAAATAAGCATTTTTCCTGCAGAAAGAGGTTTACTTGAATTTCTTTTCCTGCAAAACTTCTGCGAAAAGCTTTACCGTGTGTTTCGTGCGTGTGAACTGCGGCATCAACTGGGGATCTCTACATCAAGTCTTTCGAAACCGAAATCAGGTAATGTATGACGAACCTCTGATTTTGAGTTAATCGAAGTGTCTTTCTTCTTTCTCTCTTTCTGTGATTGATTTAGAGTCCTTTGAAGGAAGTTAGGGTTAGAGGTGAGGAGGATTTTGAATGTGCAACAAAAGGGGTTTTTTGTTTTTTTGTTTTTTTTTTTTGGGATCCTGACTTATTCCTCCCCCCTACTTTGTGCAGAGTTTGAGAAAATGTCGTCAGAAAGAATACAAAGTATAGTAGGGAGTGAGGTGATGCCTCTGGACTATGGAAGCATGGACTCAGAGAGTAGTTCATTTCCTTCTAGTTCGGAGAAGACGGTGGAGGGGGTGAGAGGGGATGAGGTGATAGAGGTAGGGGAGGAAGAGGTAGTAAAGGTTGGGGGTAATGAGGTGGTAGGGGTTGGAGGAGATAGCATACCCATAACCATAGTAAAAGTAGAGGGTAGAGGCGAGAAAGATTATGATGTGAATGCGGAGATAGTGGAAGAGGTGCAGCAGTATAGATCTGAACTAAGGACCAGGGATAGCCTGGGTCACTTAGTGGAAAACTACGAGATCTCTTCTCGAGTGCTGGTTAGGCCAGCTGGGGTAGAGGAAAGAGCGTGTTCTGCTCCTCGGGACCATTGGATGCCCATATATTCCCACTATCTGTTAGCGAGATTGAGGTTTCCAATTCCTGAGTTACTGGTAGGATTATTATTAGATTATAAGATAGGGTTGACACAATTAGTCCCCAATGCTATGAGGGTAATAATAGGATTTTTAGTCTATTGCCGAGCTCAGGGGATTAGTGTGCCAACTGTGAATATGTTTAAGTATTTTTTTGTTTTAAAGGGGGGTAGTAGGAGGGATAAAGGGTGGTATTATTTCACCCCGAGGGTAGCCAATAGGGAGAGTAGGTCTTTATTCACTACGGGTCCTTCATCCATTAAAGGATGGAAGGAAAAATTCTTTTTTGTAGATGATACGGAGTGGGAGAGGGGAGAGGCCGAGGTGAAGGAGTTAGCATCTTGGAAGGCCAAAAAAGCCAACCAGAATAAGTTTACTTTAAACGAGGTTGAGGAGGAAGAAGTGAGGAAGTTGGTGAGGAAGTGGGGGAGTTACTAAACATAATGGACCTCACCAGTGCACAATGCATAGAAGCTGCTGAGCTCTATGGGCCAAGCGCTTTGAGTGAAGGTTGGTTTAACTCTACATTGTAGTACTGAATGTAGAGTAAAGAACTATGATTAATATTGTGTTTTCTTTCCTTGCAGCTGAAATGGATCAATTCTTGAACACTGCTGGAGGAGTGGCCATCCCCAAGAAACCAAGGAAGAAGTCAAAGACTTCAACCAAGCAAGGGGATGAGGGGAGGGCTAGGAAGGAGGTAGTGGCCACGGCTTCAGCTGAGACGGAGGAGAAGGTGCCACAGTTGAAGAGGAAAGGTGGGGAAGAGAGGAGGGCACTGCAGAAGAAGCAGAAGGTGGTGGAGGAGGAGATGGGGAATGAGGTCCCTCTGTTCGTACCTCAGCCTTCTCCTGTTGAGCTGGACCCTGAGCTCAGACAGTTGGAGGAGGGGGCTGAGGTACGAGCCCCTGGTAAGGGAAAGGGGCATGTTCCCCCGCTGGGGCCTCAAGGCAGCCTGTTTGAGGCGAAGAACATGACGGGGGCTAGGTGGTTCATCAACAGCACCTTCCCCGAAGTGGACAGACGCAACGCGCGGGATGAAGCTCTGAGGTATGGTGGAGCGT